ACATTGTTTCGTTCTGCTGTGCATGGGGTCGCTATGAGTCGGTTCCGACTCGATGGCACATGACAACAACAAGGAAGATAAATCATCAGGAGGGCAAAGTGGGGTTATAAGACTTCTCCAGACTCCACGGCACACAGCCACCAGTGGCCACCACCAGTTCTTGTAGTGGACTTTTAACATTGTTCTTCTTAAAATGTAAAGGATTTCTGGTGACGCCCTAGATCTGCACTGAAGAACATTTGTCATTGTCCTTTCTCCCCGCCGCTGTTTTAGATGGGGTTCCATAGTTCCCCCAGTGGCTTGACCATCCCCTGCCCTAGGCTAGATAATACTGGTTATGGGAGGGGAAGGTCCATACCCACATGTCCTGGCCCCAGATCCCGTCAGAGAAGCGGCGTGTGGGGCGGGGGGCCAGGGCGGAGCCAGTGGCTGGTGGCGCCACAAATCCGGACCAATCGTCGTCACCGGTCACCGCCGTGGCTATTCCCGACCCCAAATCACACTGCGGGAAGCCGGGGCGTCAGTGCCTGCTTCGTTTGCCCATGCGCCTGCATATGCAGGCGCTGTAGCCCACCGCCTGAGCTCGCTAGCGGTTATTCCGGGTGACCAGTCAGGCCGGCAGCGCCAGAGGAGGAGGGGCGGATGTCCGTCCGCAGCATCTAAAGTGCCCCTGAGGCCTAACAGGAACCCTGAGGCCAGGGATCTCGCCTGTGGCTAAGGCGGAGGGTGGGGATAGCGGGGTGCAGAAGAGGAATGCTGCAAGGGGAGGAGGCGTGATCCCAACGGCCGAGGTCCGGGAACAAGGTGAAGTGAAGGCCCCAACTTTGGATTTCCATAGGGTGACCCGTGGCGCTCTAGTTCGGCACGGAGGCGCGGTCGCGTGCCTTTGCTCCAAGGGTGGGGTGGTCTAGAAGCAGCTAGATCGGGACTGGGGCGCAGACCCCGCAGAATGAGACCCGAAGGAGAAGGGTCTACCGCCCTGGAGCGCTGTGGCGAATGGCTGGAGATCCCGCCGGTTCAGTGAGCTCCCGGCGGGATTTGAGAGCGGCTCTGGGAGTCCTAGTAAATGTCTGCTGATGCATCATCCCCTAGGCCAGTCACACCACTCCCATTTCTTTCTGGGCGCCTGCAGCCATTGGTCCTTCCAGGCCAGAGTTGTATCTGCCGGCCCGGCCCGCCGCCCGGTGTGTGCCTCAACAGCCCTTCCCATTTGATCCCTTTCTCCAGAGTGGTTTTCTATCCTGTTCCCTCCCGGCTCCCTCTCTCAGGTCCGAGTGGAGCCTCGAACGCTACGTCCAGACGCGAAGGCGCTCCCCAACCCAGCCGCCCAGATAGGACGTGACTTCCAGTGCCACGGAGCCCCCCTTCGCCGGCACCCAGCCCCCTCGCTCTCCTCCCGGAGACCAAAGACTCCGAGCCACCGGCAGAACGCGCGCACAGGCAAGGCGGCCCTTTGTTTCTGCTCGCACGTTACGGACCTCCAGCCCTAATCCCCACAGGCGGGTTGGCAGAGTCTGTCTACCGCCTTGAATTCCCGGGGCCGCAGCACGCCCAACCACCCCGGTCACAGGAACCTCCGGGTGGCCCCCAGCCCCCCCCCCCCATGTCCCACTGCAGGCCTCGAACCCTGCTCCTACAGCACTCACCGTGGCATCCTGACCCGCGTAATGGCTGATGACCCGAGAGCCCCCTGGGTGCCGGTGGACGAACTCGCTGATGTTGTACACCTTTCGCTCAATCACCAGCCACCGCTCCTCGCGCCCGCAACGCTGCGCCACCTCGTCCCAAGTGAAGTAGCGAGGGGCTGGGCCCACCACCGGGTTCTGTGCATCCTTCGGGTCCGGGGCCATCTCTGATCCGGCTGTCAGGGGCGCGCTCGGGGCTGGGGATGAGTGGCTCGCGTACTCCGGGAGTGGGTCCGCGGGCACGAACCCAGATCCCAACGGCCGCGCGCCGGGTTTTCAGCACTCGAGGCACGGACTGAGGAGCCTCACAGCGCGCGCCCCTATTGGCTAAGCTGCGTGGCGCGGGGAGCGAGACCCCGCCTTCGCGGGGGCCCCTGTGTGGTCGGTGCCGGCGGCCACAACGCGCGCCCTCTTGCGGGCTCCTGGGAGGCGTCTCCGTCGGCTTCCACTTTCCGTCTTGCCGCCTGCTGGGTGTAAAGCTGTTCCCTCCCAGGAGACCCCGCGCCAAATAACGGTTCCTGGGGACGCTCGGGCTGCACAGCTTTCCCGGGTCGGAACAGGCTGGGCAGATGGGGGCAGCGGAGTCCGGGTCCAGGGCCATTCTTAGGACCGAGGCCATGTGGAGGGACCGAGACTTAGACTGTGGACGTGCACACTGCAGTCTTCCAACGTGGACGGATGGACCTGCTAGCCTTCCCCCTGGCCACGCGGCTCTGTCTGTGTGCCGCCTGAAGGAAGTCGGTATCAGCCCGCTGGGAGCCGCAATTATCTTGTGAACAGCCTAATTATATGGTTTATTGGGGTTTTGTGGAGGGGTGGTGGTGGTAATAGTTATATTTACTAATGTGCCCACACGATGTTGGTAACCTTATTTGCCTTTTATTCATAAGAATAAAGTCGGATCTGATTTCTAGGATGCCCTATTCTTCTTGTTGTGAAGTACCGTTGAGTCGGTTCCGACCCATAGTGACCCTGCATAGGGTTTCCAAGGAGCAGCTGGTGAACTTGAACCACTGACCTCGAGATTCAAAGCAACTTTGCAGTCCAGCGCATTAGCTCACAGTGCGATACCAGGACTCAGGATCTTCTAGCTGAAGCATTTCGAATGGATCCTGGGAACCATACTACTACTTGTTGATCAAGCAGATTCCAGTTTGCAGTTATGAGTCTGAAGGTGGAAACTACCAGCGGTTCCACTGGAGAAAGATGACGCTTTCTGCTTCCGTAAAGATTTACAGCCTCAGAAACCCTACAGAGGGTCGCTATGCGTCGGAACCCACTCCGCAGCACAGCACCACCACCATGTAGGAAAAACCATGCAATTTTCAAGGCAGTGACCTTTCAGAAACAGGTTTCCAGGACTGAGACACCTCAGGTTGGATTCAAAACACCAAGCTTTGGACTAGTAGTACATCCCCCCAGAAACTCCAGTGGGAGCCACGGGAGGTTTTTAGGATCTCTGGTTTTTAGGAAGCCGAATTGGAAAGCACTGCAAGGGGCAGGGGGGAAGGGGGGGCTGGGGGAGGGGGCTGCAGCCCTGCAGGTGGGAAGATGAAAGGACACCGGGTTTAGGAGCTAAATTTTCTTTTCAACAAACATAAAACACTATGTGCCAGGCAGTATTGCAAGTTTTTCACAAGTAGTAGCTAATTGAATTCTCATAACCCTATGAGATAGGAACTATTATTAACATCATTTACAAATGAAGAAATGGAGTCACCAAGAGGTTAAGTATTTTGTCACACAGCTAGTGAATGGCTAGTGAGGTTTGAACCTGGGCTACCTTTTGAACTCCTGAGTCTTTCCTTTCAATACAGTTGTATTTATACACTTTGACAGAATGCTATAGCTAAGCGGAAAGATACCTAACTTTACTCAGGAGCTAGAACCTAAGTCAAAAAAGATTGATCAAGAGCAGACTAGGAAAACTACACCCCAAAGTATTTCCTTTCATGGATAAGAAGCCAGTTCACAGTGAGGAAGGGGAACCTGGGTCAGAGTTCATGTGTCCTGCCTTCTATTTAAGATTCCGGGCCTTGCACTTAAAAAAAACAACAGAAAAAACCTGTTCAACAACTTGGCAATGTGTAACAAAAGCTATAAAATGATTTGGACTCTTTGATCCTGTAACTTCACTCTTGGAAAAATAGGGGTGGGGATGGGGGGAGAAGTGTGCAAGATGTTTATAGCAAATATAATAGCAAAACCCAGGAATAGCCTCAAGGTCCTTCAATATGAATATTGCCAGACTCATTGGGTTACAATAACACAAAGAATAACCGAGCAATTTGAAACCATCAGGATGTGAATTATATTGATAGATGGAAAATACTTCCTGGTGAAGCAGGCAGAATCCAAAGAAATATGTACTCACTGTCTACACTTACTTAAGAAAGCCAGGAGTACGAAATAACAGAAGAGAATCGTCATGCTCTAAAGCTTTTGTAGTTTAAGACTCTCGGTGGTGGTGTTGTTGTTAGGTGCCATCGCGTTGGTACCAACTCATAGCGAAACAGAAACTATAGAAGTGAACACTTTGTCAGTGACTTCTATATGTACTGGGAATACCAAATGTGATGTTACACAGGCCATGCCTAGCTTAAGTTCACTACGGAAGACGGACAAGCAAGTCACTGATTATAGGTCGGTATGATAGAAGAGTCCATGGTGGCACAGTGGTTGAAGTGCTCAGCCACTATCTGAAAGGTCAATGGTTCAAACCCACCAGCTGCTTCTTGGGAGAAAGGTATTATGACAGCCTGCTCCTGTAAAGATTTACAGTCTCGGAGTTGGAATCGACTCAGTGGCAATGGTGGTGGTGGATTTGATGTATACAAGGTGGAACCAGGGTGGCACAGCAGTTAAAGCACTCAGCTGCCAACTGAGATGTCAGTGGTTTGACCCCATCAGTTGCCCGCAGGAGAAGGATGTGACAGTCTGCTTCTGAGCAGATTTACAGCCTTGGAAACCCTACGGAGCAGTTCCACTATGTTTGTTGTTGTTGTTGTTAAGTGCCGTCGAGTCGGTTCCGACCCATAGCGACCCTGTAACAGGGTTTCCGAGACTGTAAATCTTTACGGGAGCAGAACGCCTCATCTTTCTCCCGCGGAACAGCCGGTAGTTTTGAACTGTTGGCCTTAAGGTTCACAGCCCGATTCGTAATGTTGGTGTCATGTATTTTGGTTAGCCCTCTAACTAGGTTATGATCTCAGTCAGGACTGTAGATTGTATCTAGTATTGTCTCTCTTTTTTGTTTTTTTTAATTAAATGTTTTTATTTTGGGTTGAGTGAAAGTTTACAGGGCACATCATCAGCTTCACATTCAACCATTCATATAGCTTGTTTCATTACATTGATTATTATCCCCTCCATATAT